CTGCTGCAAATCAGAATTGGTGCTGGCAGAAGGTTCACCTGCATGAAAATTTCGGGCACCAACTGGTTCATCCATTTGCTCAAGTCCAGATGATGGAACTGGTACTGGCATAGGTGCAGATGGAGGTGAAGGTACTGCAGTGGGTATGTCAATCTATTTGCCTGACCTCAATGTGATGGCACTCACATTTTTTGGATTCTGCAGCAAATTATTGATGTTGGGTTAAATGAACAACTTTGTCCTTTTATTAAAAATATTGATGATTTTAGGCCAATTAAGAAGCCTAAAACAACCACGTCTAAAGTTTGGGATAATTTTACTAAACTTGGGGTAAAAAATGGCGAAAAAAAAACTAAATGCAACCATTGTGGTAATGAATATATTTGTGGTGGTGTAAAAATAGGAACTTCATCCATGTTACGTCATTTTCAAAAGTGTGACATCTTAAAGCAAAAACAAAATATGCACAAATTGAAGTTGAGGTTTAGAGAAATAGGAAAGTGTTTTCCATAACTTTGGACAATGCAAGTGTCAATGACACAATGGTAAATTTCATGAAAGCACGCTTTAATTTGCAAAACTGTTTGATTTGTAATGGCTCATATTTTCATGTGAGATGTAGTGCACATATATTGAATCTCATTGTTCAAGAAGGTTTGGGGGTGATTAGTGGTGCTTTGAAAAAAATTAGAGAAAGCATAAAATTTGTAAGAGGATCAAAAGCTAGAAAGATTGCTTTTAAAGAATGTGTGCTTCAAGTGAGGAGTATTGATACTAAGGTGGGTTTGAGAATGGATGTGCCCACTAGATGGAATTCCACTTATGTTATGCTTGATGGTGGAACTAAATACAAATGTGCATTTGGTTGTTTGGCTATTCGAGATAGGAATTATGTTCATTACCCATCAGATGATGAATGGAATAGGGCTGCAAGAAGGTGCGAGTTCTTGAAGCCTTTTTTTGTCATGACAAATTTGATATCAGACTCCACTTATCCAACATCTAATCAGTACTTTATGCAAGTTTGGAAAATTGAAAAGTTGTTGTGTGAATTTGTTATGTGTTAAAATCTAGTGATTAAAGAGATGGCTTAAAAAATGATGATTAAGTTTTCAAAGTATTGGCATGACTATTGTGAGATTCTTGCCACTGGTGCTATTCTTGACACACGAATGAAGTTTGGAGCTTTTCAATTTGCTTATAGAAAAATTGAACCTTCTACTTCTGAAGAAAAATTTAGTGCTTTGCGAATAAAATTTATGAATTGTTTGAAGAGTATGAGAAAGTAAAGTCAAATGCTTCAACTTCTAATGTGTCTCTTCTTCCACCACAACCAATTTCATATACAGATGATGAGCAAGTACTTGGTACCTTTGATGCAAGTCAATAATTTTTTAAAGTACTTCATTTAATTTCATTTTTATTTAGCAATTATCATTGAATATTGAATTTCTTTTTCCTTGTAATGTCTTAGGAATATTTTGATTATTTGAGCCAAAATGTTGTTGTTAGATGTTGAGCCGAAGTTTCAGGAAAAGTTAGATGTGTTAACTTATTGAAGAGATAGTCATGATTGTTATCCAAACATCTCTCGGATGGCTTGTGATGTGCTGAGTATTCCAATCACTACAATTGCTAGTGGCTTTTATCCTTGGGTCTCGGGTACTAACTAAGTATTGCTCTACCATTCTTCCTGAAAATGTAGAGTTACTCATTCTAACTCAAAATCGGTTGCATGATTTTGAAGAATTAGGTAATTTTTATAATGAGAAATTTCTTATTTATTTTTACAATAGCTCATCCTAACACTTTTTTTTTCTCATTTGTAGATGGAGATAAAGTGGATATACAAAGAGAAGAAATTGTTATTGACATTTCCGTGCAAGACTCTAATTAAGTTTATTTTGCAAGACTCTTGTATGATAAAACATTGAAACTTTTTATTTTGGAGTTTGGACTTTGATTATGATTTGTAATTAATTTTGGATGATGAAGCATTGAAACTTTTCATTTTAGAGTTTGACTTTGATTATGGTTTGTAGTTAATTTTGTATGACGGGATATTTTAGATTTTTATCATGGTTTGTATTTAATTTTGTATGACTTATGACTATTAATGATGCTAATTTTATGATTGTTATGTTAATTTATAGTTAATTTGTTTATGTTACTCAATTCCTTCCATTATGTGTCAACAACTTTGGAATTGCAAATATGACACAATGCCCATGGTGGTGGTGAGCAATTTTAATGCCTATTTGTTTCCATAGAAATAGGTCGGTGGTTGACCACCAAATAAAGCTACTATGTCTCATTTTAATTAATCTATGGCTTAATGTTGCTTATATGGTTTAGGTTTTAAAAGACCTTTTTTTGTACTTGGAGGGGAGAGGTGTGAAGGAAAGGTTGTATAGAGTTCTTGGAAATTCTAAATGGAATTTGTCTTTTCAACAATCATCTACTACTCATTTGTCTAGTTTTAAGTATGACCATAAGTCTATTCTTCTACGACTAGCACCGAAAGTTCACCAACAAACTTGTTGAAAACCCTTTTGATTTTTTGTTAATTGGTTGCTTGATGAGACCTCCCATGATATTGTTCAAGATGCCTAAGGATCTAATCAAGAGCGGAGTAATGTTTAATGCAAATTTTATACCTTTGTTGATAATTGGAATAAGAATTGCTATGATTTTTTTTTCATGGAAAAACACAGATTTTAGTAAGGCTTGAGGGAATCAATTATCAACTAACTATGGAAGAGAACTGTTATTGTCAAAAGGCACAAAAGAAGTTGTGGCATGATTATGACTCTATTATTCATAATGAGGAACTATTTTGGTATCAAAAGCTAGATGTGACTAGTTCAAATTTGATGATAGAAACACAATTTTTCCACACCAATATTTTGGTTAGAAGGAGAAGAAATATAGTGGAGGCTTTGGTGGTTGATGATGGTGAGTTATTATTGATCAAGAACATATTAAAAATATAGCTAGAGATCATTTTAGAGCCTTATATATTATAGAAAGTATTGCAAATAATTGGGGAGGTTTCCCTATCTCAATTTTGAGGGCGTCCAAGGGATCAACTACCATTCTCAGATGTTAATATTAAATATGTAGTTTTTAATATGGGTATTTTTAAAGCTTCTAGACCTAATAGACTTTAACCTATCTTTTTTTAAATAATTGGGATACTATAGAAAGGTCGATTTGTGATATGGTAAAAAGTGTTTTTACGATCCTTAGTACATTGGGGGAAATCAATCATACTCTTCTTGTCCTTATTCCTAAATGTTATGCTCCAACTAACATGAGTCATTTTTGACCTATTAGTTTTTGTAATGTCATAAATAAAATCATTACAAAGATCATTGTTACTAATTTGAAGAAGTTTATGCATTCCTCAATTAGGCCTAATCAATGCAACTTTGTCATAGAGAGACATGAGTCAAATAATGTCGTTATTGCTTAGAGAAAATATCATATGAATCAAGAAAGGAATGAAAGGGTTGATGACTATTGAGGTGGATTTGGAAAAAGACTTATGATAAGTTGCATTTGGGATTTTTTGATGGATACTTTGAAAGATATTTGTCGCAACCGAGATCGCGATGGGACGACGAAAAATAAATTAAAAAATAGGGAGTCGCCACCAATGTTATTTTTTTTTACGGAAAAACATTGGAAAAACCATAAAGTAGAAAATGATCTACGAAAATTAGATTTTTGGGTTCGGAAGTCGATTACGTGTGAGGAAGGTATTAGCACCTTACAACGTTCGTCTTAATACGATTACCTTTAATTAATTAAGCAAATTTATTATAACTTATAAAATATTTACCTCACCCCACATTAATATGAATTAACAATAATAATCAAATATATTGTTTAACAAATGTCTTTATTTTATTTTAATGAGTACTAAAATTATTATTTTTTTTATATTGTTATTATTAAAAAATGAGATAATATTGTTATTTTTATTTTTTTGGCTCGACAGGAGTGACTTCCTGCTCCTACGTATCTCCATGCGTAATGAAGAATCTGAGTCACGTAGTTCTTTGGTAGAAAATATTTGTCTGTTGGAAATTTTTTATTAATTTGTTTATTATTTTTCTTTTAAAAAGGTTAGGATTTTTGAACTGTCACAGCTCATATATCCCAATGTAAAAATCGACAGAGGTGTACACCAAAGCCAGATATTTAATTATTTAAAAAAACATTATTATTGTTAATATTGTGGTACATATTTAAAAAGATTTTGATTAGATTTTTATTATTTTAGGGAAAAAGTAAAGATATCAAGTTGTCACAACTTGTATCTTAAATTTAAAGGTTAAAAGATATTACATCTAATAAATTATTTTTTTCAATAAAATCTTTGATATAATGACCTCAAATATTTATATTAAAAATTGTGATAATATATTTTATATTAATTATATTTTAAACTTAAATAAGAGGAACTTTAAGATAACAAATTGTCACAATTTGCACCTTAAGCCCAAGAATTTAAGGGAATGTCACATTCCAATAAACCTTTTTTTTATTTGTTTTAAATGAATTAAAATTACATGAACATCTAACACATTTATATTAGGAAACAACTTAATCAAGTAAAATCAATTAAGCTAATTTTGTTAAACTATTATTATTATTATTATTATTATGTTTAATTTTATCTAAAATCTAAATAGTATTTCTATTGGTCATTTTTTACGTTAAGTTACAGGACTTTATTTTAAGATATTATTCTTATCTTATTATAATTATTAATATTATTATTTATGTTTATCTTATGACCGTTTGAGAAATATGAGGATATGGGCCAAGTTCTTTGCAACGAAAAAAATGAAGGAGAAAGAAAAAAGAAAGAAAAAAAAAATAATAAGATAAGCCCAAAATCTAAGAGAGATCCACACGGTTACATTGCCATTATTTGATCCATAAAGACCAGCCCACCGTGAGGACCAAAAGAAATAAAACGGAAAGAAAAAATGAGGGAACAACAAAGGTTTCGCAACAGAAAGAAAGGAGGGTTTGTTTTAGGGTGAAGTGCGACGCTTCACTTCCCGAACTGCAACGGCAGGATGACAAATAGAAGGAGACCCATGCTACAACCAAACACAGTATGAAGAAGATGACGAAAGAAGACATCACCATTGTTGGACCTTACCTTCGAACCGCGGTTCATCGTAGTCACAAACAGTGACGGTGCAAGGAAGAAAAAAAAGCGGTACCTCTCCGACTAAGGCACACAACAATTTGCAGAGGTTGAAAAGTAATATTTTTTTTATCCATAATTTTTATTCATCTTTCTTTGCATATTAATCATCTACATTATGTTGGTGATTTAAATTTTAACCGAGAATGAGGCTATTGTTCATGTCATACTTGCGATAAAATTAGACAGGAGAAAATAGAATCACAATACATAATATACAAAGATAAGGTTAGATTACAGTAAGGATGATACCACAATTGGGAAGTCGTGGTGAGTGCTTCTTGTTCGTGCCTTCTCTTCTTTGACTATACTTCAGTCACCATTGTTTTTATTTTTTCTCCCTTGTTCATCTTGTGTTATGGTATTTATAGGCACACGATTTTTCAATTTGGTTAATTTGATATCTTTCTCTGCCAAAATCCCTAAATTCAGGGATATGGCTTGTGGATTTGGTTAAGAGCCCATTTTGGAGATATTTGCAGGGCATGGTGACTTGTTTGCAGGGCATGGTGGCTTCGTAGCAGAGTAGTTAGGGAAGCAGTTGCTGGGGTTCACGGAAGATACAATCAACACGTTTTTTTTTCTTATTTTTCTATTTTGTTTTGTTGTTTGTTTTTGCTTTTTTTTTTGTTTTTTTTTTGCTTTTAATTTGTATTATATTTTGGAATATGTATGGACTGGACTTTTTTTATTTATACAGGGAGACAAAATTTGGAGTTAACAATATTTGATTTTAGGAATTCTTTTGTAACCTCATTTTTGGCTTTTATCTATTTTGTTAATATGCTAAATGGAACACCTCTTATGCTTTTGGTACTTCCATAGGTATAAGGCATGGAGACCTGCTATCCCTATATTTATTCGTGTTATGTGTGGAGCGATTAACTTATTTGATTGAACATGATGTAACAAATAAGATTGGGAGACTTATTAAATTAAGTAGCAATGACCCTCCCATTTCCCACTTATTCTTTGGTGATAACATGTTATTTATTGAGAAAAGTGTAGATCAAGTTGACATTGTTTTGAAGTGCCTTGATGAGTTTTGTCGTTCTTCGGGACAAAAGGTTTCATTTGCAAAAGCTCACATGTTTGTATCTTGTAATGTTAAGTATCATGATGCCATGTTTTTTAGTACAATGCTTGATTTTGGACTAATGAGTGATCTTGGAAAGTATATAAGGTTCCTCTACTTCATATAAGAAAGAAAAGGTGCTTGTATGATTTCTCATTAAAAAGACTCAACAAATACTAAGCAATTGAAGAGCAAATTTTTTATTCCTTAATGAAAGATGTACCTTGTTGAAAGCTATTATTGTTGCTTTGCCAACTTATACTATGCGGACATTTTTTTTCCAAAAGAAGTATGTGCTAAATTGGATTCTTTAAATACAAATTTTGTTTGAAGTGGTATTGAAAACAGTAGGAAATCCCATTCTATTGCCTAGAAAAAATTCTACCTGTCAAGAAAAGATGGTGGTTTAGGGTTCAAGGATCTCAACTAGTTTAATAAATTTTATTCAAGATCCAAATGTTTTATGCGTGCGTGTTTTAAGGTATGAGATTTAGTGGTTGATGGTTGTCATTGGTTATTATGGAATGATGCTTTTGGAAAATTTTGGTGGGATAGATGGTTGCCATCTAGGTTTGTTATTGGTCAACATTTTGTAAGTCCTATCCCTAATTTGACCAATGATTCATTGGTGGTTGATTGTGTAACTACTGAAGGGACGTGACAAGTCCAAATTTTTCAATACCTAATTTCACATTGGTTATTTATGAAAATCATGAGTGTCTTACCACTCTAGGTTGAGTTAGGTGAAGATAAAATCATATGGCACCTAACAAATAATGGGGTTCTCTTAATAAAGTCAGTACATGACCTTTGCGAGGTATAAACATTGTGTTTAGGCATTTTGTTTAAGAGATAATTTGAAAATCACCGTCATACCCCAGAGAAAATATTTTCTTATGGGAATATGTCCATAGTGGGTTGATTAAAATAGCATTTAGGTTCAACATGTTTATGCAAAATTGTGGTTCTTGTTCTCTTTGTGATTTGGAGGATGATCGAAGATTCATATTCTAAGAAATTGTCCAAAAATGTCTCAAGTTTGGGTTAGCCTTATCTGTATGTAACTGTCACAAATCTTTTACCAACAATATTTAATTAATTGGTTTAGAAATAATATTATTAATACAACTATATTGGTTAAAGGTGTTTCTTGAGCCGTCTTGTTTCCAATTGTTTTTATGGATATATCGAAGGTAAGAAACAATGTTGTTTTTGATTTTGTTGAATATAATCATGTTAAAGTGGGAAGATTAACTTTTCAAAAGGGTTTGCAAGCCTCACACGCTACTATGGTGGCAAACCCATTTTTAATGGTTAGTAAGCATGAAAACCATGATATTAGTTGATCTCCCCCTCAAGCTGGTTGATTTAAAGTTAATTCAGTTGAACTTATTAGATAAGTAGAATGCAAACCTCTTATTGTTGTATCATGAGATGATAATGGTAAGTAGGTGTATTTTTTTAGAAACTTGTGATCTACTAATGCTATTATGGTTGAGTTATGGAGAGTTGTTTCTAAAATTCTTTCTAACATGGAACAAAGGAGTGAGGAAACTTGTACTTGAGTGTGACTCCAACGTTATCATTCATTTCGTCAATAAGGGTGTTGAAAAGTCTCATCCTTATTGCTCATTAGTCTTGTTTATTAGAGATTAGACTCATAAGATTGAAAGATTATATGTACACATTTATTTAGAGAGGTTAATATGGTGGATGGCTATATGGCTTCTTTGGTTAACTTTTATGATATTGGCTATCATAAGTTAGACAATCCACTTGTTGGTTGTTTACGTTTATTGATAAGAGATGTAATGAGTCTTGTTATGACCTGTAGTATCTTAGCATAACTATTTTGTTTGGACTTTAGTCTTCTTTGATATAAAAAATAATTAATTTTTATATATTAAATATGAACCTCTATTTTGCATTAAGAGTATTTTTAAGAATTTTTCTTTAACAGAAAAATTTATAAGTATTTTTATAATCCCCTATCTAATTTAGTTTTTATTTATAATAATTCTTTAATAATTAAATATTAATAATTGTCGCGATCTCGGTTGCAATGATAGTTAAAATAAATTATTAGTATATAAATTTTTTTTATAATATAAATTATTTATCAAAAATCTAAAACATAATTTAAATGTTTAAATATTATTTTTATATATTTATTTTAAAAATAATTTATATATTCATTTTAAATATAATTTATATATTTAAATATATTATTTATTTATATAATATATTTAAATATAATAAATATTTATATATATAATTTATTATAAATTTAATTATATTATTATAATAAACATGTATATTATAAGAACTAAAATATTGCTATATAATTGATTAAATATATTACATTACCATTAATAAAAGAAGAAAACTTGTTACTTAAATGAAATAATAATAAAGTCAAATGTAAACTTTTTTTTTTTTAAATTGCATTGCATAAGCAATGATAATCCACCACTCAAATAATAGGATAAAAAAAACTTCAATATTTTCCAAGTGAAGTAATAGTGATGAGAAGTTAGTTACAAAATATTTTCTTATTTTAAAAAGTATCTAGTTTAATTTGTGATATCGAATTGAATTTTTAAATATAAAGTTATGTTAAATTAAAAAAAAAAAAACTTTGTTGTATTTAAGGACTTTACTTGTTTAAATAGGATTGTCTTTCATAAAGATACTTTTTTACTTGTATTTTTTTTTTTATAAAAAAGATTGTTATATTTTTTAGATTATTTATTTATTTTTTAAGATTTAATTTAGTTTTACTATTTTTAAAATATTCAATTTAATCTTTTAATTTTTAAAATATGTTAAATATTGTTCTTTTGTCTAAATTGACATTAATAACTTTAATAAAATTAAATAAAAGGATAATATTAAACTTTTTTTTTGTGAAAATTGGAGGATTAAATTTAACATTTTATAAATAATGAGACTAAATTAGATATTTTAAAAATAATAGGATCAAATTGAATAAAAATTTATCTAATATTTTTTTGTTAGATAAATTTGAATTTTCATTTACTTACCTTAACATGACCATGAATGACAATAAATTGAGTACCTAGAATTAAAAATCACAAAATGAAGAAGTTATTTAATAATATAACTTATTAAATAGATAAAACATATCACATGTGGTATTTTTGTAATGAGTTGAAGTAGCTCTTGTACTTCCTTTATTTTCAATTATTTGAATTATAAAAAAAAATTAATAATAAAAATTATTAAATAGATAAAACAAAATTCAAACTTATCTAGATAAAAAAAATGTTAGATAAATTTTTGTTCAATTTAATCTCTCTATTTATGACATGTTCAATCTAATCTCACTATTTTTAAGTTATTCGATTCAATTTGATCTCTAATTTTTAAATAATATTCAATATTATTATTTTGTTGAATTTTATTAATGTCATTAATGTTAATTTAGATAGAAAGATAACATTTAACATTTTTTTTTAAATTAGAGAATCAAATTAAACTAATTTTAAAAATAATGAGATCAAGTTAAATCTTAAAAATAAATAGAAAAGTATAATTAAAAAAAAAGAAAGAAAGAAAGAGACACAACCACATAATCGTAAAAAAAACACAGGCACTAAAGTTTAGGAACTTTATTTTCTAACGTGACAATGTTAGGAACTTTTGGTGCATGGGTAATTTTAATTGTATGCTTATGCAACCGTTTTATTAACTTGATTTGGTAAATTAATTTTAATTTAATTAAAAGTGATTTTTATTATAATCATTTTCCTCAAAATTAATTTTTTTATAGTAAATTTAGTATAAATCTAAAATATTTATCCTTACAATTATAATGTACGAAGTAATTTTTTTTAGTAATATTATAAATTAAAATAAATTTTAACGATTATTTAGTTTCAATTAATCAAATTAATATAAAAATATTAAATAATATTTAGTTTTATTTAAATTTACAGACAAATAGTATAATTTTAACAATAACTTTTTAAAATAATAAAATACGGTAAGTCTTAAAGTAAGATAAGATTTAATTTGAATTTGTAACAATAACACACTCATGGTGACAATAGTTTGTACAATTTAATTTAAAATTAAAAATAATTATAATTTTTGTAAGTTAAAATAAAATATGACTTAATTTAGATTTGGAATAATAACACATATAAAGATCACTATACAAATGCATTTAGAGAAAAGAGAGAATATAAAAACTAAAAAATAAGTTAGCAAATAGAATAGAGAAAGACAAACAGTCTTACCTTCCAAGGTGGGCTAAAATTTATAATATAAAATGTTTTAAATTAAACATTTATACTATATATATATATATACTTTATATTAAATGTGAATTTTATAAATCCAACCGTAAATTGAAAGTTCATATCAATTTATATGTGTATGTCAAATTTTAATAAAATTGAACAACAACTTGAGGGTAATCAAAGTGTTCATATTTTAGTATATTTTGAAATAAATATATATGTCAATTTTGTTTTATAAAAATGAAGTATTAAATCATCTTGGATTACTATAAAATTTTGTATATATGATATAAGAAATATGAACTTTCAATCTAACGGTTAGATTTATAAAATTCACACTTAATATAAAGTTATTGAGCGGTGTAACACTTAGTAAAAGTTACACCAGTGTCGTTTGAACCCTCCTCATATATATATATATATATATATTTGTTTACTTCTAACTTGAAGATAAAAATAATTCTACAATAAATCATCCAAACACAATCCACATTTTGAGATTTATTTTAGAAACACGTTTTGAAACTTGAAACCCCCTTGTAAAGTACAAAATATACATTCAAATTTGCTACAATCCAAATTAAATTGGAACTACTCATTATCCTCAATTGCAACTGATTCACACATCAAACTTATAACATGTGTGGAACTTTCAGTGGAACATGACAAACCCACACCACAGTGATTTTGATAAAAGTAAAACAATGCAGCTCCTGCATTTGATTGAAAAATTAATGCGATATTTTATTACAAACTTATTATCAAAATACAAGTTTCTAAACGGACACCACTTTACTATAAATTATTTTTTAATATTCAAGATTATTTAAAGTCAAGTTTATAAACACTCTCCCAAAACATACTAGACTACCCTAAATTGATACTTCTAACAATGCTAAAAAAATAGCAATTTAAACAATAATCATCCAAATTATTCAGCACAATTGAAATGCAAAAATTGACTTATTAAGTGGACTAAAATACAAAAATGGCAGCACTAAAATAAGTAAATAGACCCTTTTTCTTTTTGACATTTTTTGTCGGATAAAAAGCAGTTTAAATTCGATAAAAGCGAGGAAAAAAAATAATGTCAGAAGAAAACAAAACACAAAACGTTACGATTCAAAACGCGGGCCCCACTGCATGAGTCTCTGTCAATGATTATCTGGCGAATGAAAACGTTGGACGAACGCATAATTAAAATAATTAATTACCATTTAAACCAAATAATAAGATAATTAAGTAAACTGAAAAAAGAAAACTAAAAAAAAAAAAAAAAAAAAAAA